GAGAGAGAGAGAGAGAGAGAGAGAGAGAGAGAGAGAGAGAGAGAAGCCAGGAAGGGGACACAGAGAAGGTTCACCCCTCCAGGGCATGCCCCTAGTGATCCACCTCCTCCAGCCATGCCCCACCTGCCACATTAAACCATTATTCCATTCAAACTAGGATGGACTGATTGGGTTACAGCTCTCGAAACCCAATCATTTCACCTCTGGCTATTCTTGCCTTAACACAGGAGCTTTGTAGGGAGCACTTCATGTCCAAACCATAACATTCTGCGTGGAAAGTTCTCAGCTCCGGGCAGCCTTCATTCCTGGTTGCACACTGTCCTTCACCTACTTAGCACTGTTTTAACAAGGAAGCACTGTGCGTTGTGTCATGGTGCAGCTGAGCATAGGTTCGTGGCTCCCATTATGTAGCCTCTGCTGTGTGCAAGGCATACTCTGTCACTCCAGCAGCCCCCTGTCCAGGGCCAGTTGGGTTGGAGAATCTTGGGGGAAATTTCTTAGACTGCCTACATCCTGCACACCTGGGAAGCTGGTGGAAAATATGGATTCCTATCACCTCCCTTCCAGATAAATCCCTTGATGGTGGAGCCTGCCAGTCTACCTATATCTGTGCTCCAAGTGGATTCTCTGCACACTGGGGTTTGCAAGGCACTGGTTTCTGGCTCTGGAGGATGGAAAACTCCCCTCAAGTTATCAGATTAAGGGTTCTTATCTGGTTCTCCTCAGATGTTAGCAGGGTAGTTGTTAGAAAGTCGTTCCCTGTCTGGGTCCTCTTGGTTTCTGTAGGAGCCAGGCTGGGTGGGTTGGGGGTTGGGAGAGAGCAGAGAGTCTGTTTCCAGGCCTGGGTGGTTCCCCTCCCCACCTGCTCTCTGCCCTGCTAGTGTGCAGGATCCGGGAACTGGCACTCAGTGAAAGATTTTGATTTCCAGTGGAATTTGTGCTGTCACAGGATTTGACCCATGGGGCTTGTGAATAGAGAGATGGGTTAGGGAAGCATATGACTTGGCTGATGGCCGAGGCAATGATAAATGTGGCAGCAGTAAGAGTAAGAAGGGAATCTGTCTGGCTGCAGGTACGACCTGCCAGAGAGACAGTTCTGGCCCTTGTCTGACGACTCATTCTGAAAACTGGCCATGCATGGGCGAATCTCTCCCACGCTGTTTATTGCTTCTCATACGGAGTTCCTTTTTAAATGATTGTATTAGACAACAGAGAGTGTGGGGCACACAACTTTGTGCTATCTAAGGTCACAGGGCAATCAGGACTCCTAGTAGTATCTTTAAGGCGTAATTCATGGCTCTTGTAGCTTTGACAAATGTGAGGGTATGAGGGTGAGCATCAGGAATTTTATGCTGTAAAATCTTCCAAATTGTTTTTCAAAACACTGTAGCATCGTGGGTTTGAATAGAGATAGTGGCAACAGACCTGGATTTGGATACTACTCTGCCACTTCCTACACCTTTGGGAAGTCACTTAAATTCTGTGAACCTCAATTTTCTCATCTGTAAAATGGGAACAATAATACTAACCTCAGAGGATTATAGCTAGGATTGAGTGAAACTATCAAGCACGTAGCGAAGTGCTTTGAAATTGAAATGGGACAAAGATGATTAACGTTGCGTTGTAATATCTTTGGGTGAACAAATTCTCCACTTATATGACTTTTTTCCTAGTTGCCTGGTTGAAATAAAGAGTTAACCAAAATCTGTCTATTCCTAGTTCTATTCTAGGGATAGAACTGTTGTCATTGAAAGATCTTCTGCAGCCATGGGTGCCTCTTGGCTCTTAGAAAGAATTATCTAATGCTTATGATAAGGTACACGTTTGACATGAAACCTGCACATGATAGTTTTTGCTTTTTGGGTTTTTATTGTGGTTGTTTTGTTAAATGGTGGGTTAGTAGAAGATATGTGTATGGAAAGGAAGGGAGTTTGATGATGTGTTGATGGATCTGTTTACATCTCTTTCTCCGAGGTAACAAACTCTGCTTCACAAAGTCAGGAAACCATTCTTGGTCTTTAATAATAGTAGTGATACCATTATAACAGTAAGCCACAATGGCTACTGTGTACTGGGCCTATGTACATTATCTGTTTTTATTGTTCCCCATTTCCTACAGGAGGAGATGGAGGTTTTGGAGGTTGTGCAAGGTCGCACATCTGGTAGGGACAGATCAAGATTGGACTCTTTGCACAACCTTTATGTGCAAAGCTTTCCCTGTCTTGGGAATGAGGGCAAGTGGTCATAGGAAGGAGGACTGATGTCAGGTGGCCTACGGGGACAAGAGGCTAAGGGAACTTACTGACTATTGACCACTGAGGGGCTGGCTCTGTGGCTGGGTCGCTCCTGAATTCACCATTGGCAGCCAGAGGCTAGAGTGCTACTTTCCATAGGTGGTTATTGACCAGATTGTGACCTCTGGGCTTGGCCACGGTGATTGATTGATTTATAACTTCAATATTGACCCCCCACAGTGGGGTGCCCTTTCAGTCAGCATGGGAGACCACCCAGAAAAGTTCATCTGGGTTGAAAGTATGCCGCAGTCTGCTCTCCTTAGGAGGCCTGAACACACACACACACATACCCCCCCACACACACACACCTGGGTATCATTTGTCCTAGCTTCGTTTGTTTCTGTGGGTGTCTTTGAGTTCACCTAGAACCTATGGGAATGACTTTTAGTTTGGAATTCGTAAGAAATAGGAGAAAATGATTCTCTGTCCTGGTTTAGAGTTTCCTTTCTTCTCTTGTCCAAAAGTATAGGGTGACAATGTGTCCCAGATTTTTGGGGGGTAGAACGAAGCTTAGATATTCTACAGTGATGGCCCAATAAAATCCTAGAAAATTAACTCGGGCAAATTATAACCAAGTCAAGTGAGTAATTATTACCATAAAATGTGCCTCCAATTCAGGAATTGAAAAATTTGAGGCTCTAGAAAATTAAGACCACTGTTGATAGAGGAGGAGTGACAGTCTTTGTGTCAGGTCTTGGAGTGGCAGAAAGAAAATACTAAGTAGGGAATAAAGGTCACTTTACTCTTTGCAAGGGGTGGAGATGGGTGAGTATTGGTGCTGTGTGTGTATACGATTTTCCTAAATTCAGAATGAAACATATAAGGCATTTTGATGAACCAGAGAGTTAATTACTGTGACATGAAATGTGCTCGCTGTTATCATTTTTTTTTCCTCCAGGGAGAGAACTAGAGAGAGACACAAATCACCCCGAAATAAAGATGGCAGAGGGTCAGAAAAATCTGTCACCATTCAGGCTCCCACCGGAGAGCCCCTGTTGGCAAACGATTCTACTCGGACAGAGGAAGTTCAGGTAAGGCTCACAGGTGGTCTGTAAGTATACTGCTGCCCCTTGACCACGTCTCTTTTCTGTAAATGTTTTCCTAAGTCCTGTTGCAATAGGTTCTCTTGGGTTTTTAACCTTTATTTTTCTAGCATGCTAATTAGTTTATCTATGTCCTGTGGTTTCTTGTTGGTCTAAGGACAGCCTGTCCTGCCATTGGATAGCTTGGGGATTCTCCTGAGGTGTGATTGGTTGGCCTGTGTTGAATGGTGTTGGACAGAAGCCAGGACTGCTGACGACAGGGCAGGGCAGGGAAAAGTTATAGGCTGCAGTCTCCGGAGACTCCTTCCAAAATGGAAGAGTGTTAGGGAAGGAATCTCTGTCTCCAACAAGCCTAAGTAGTGTTGGGAAGATGAGGAAAGAAGTTAGGACAGCTCAGATGTACTCTTGGACATGTGAAACAAACCAGGGACTGGACACTCGGCCTGGTAGGGAAACAGGATGAATGAGGTACCCCCTGGATCAAAGAGAAGGGACAGGAATACATCAAGCAAACTTTGGGTGGTAATGGCCTCTGTGATTCCTCAGCATGAAGACCTTGGGATGGAGAGAAGGATCTATGACGAACCGGAGAAGGTGTTTCTTCTACTAAGGGACAGCAGCTCCCTTAGCTCCAGAGACTACCTGCTGCTTGGAAATGCAAGGACTAAGTGCTGATGGGTCTTGCAGTGTTTAAGAAAAGTCAGGGGCCTGGGGTTATGGCTCAGCGGTAGAACGTTCGCCTACCAGGTGCAAGGCCCTGGGTTTGATCCTCAGCACCACATAAAAAATAAATAAATAAAATAAAAAGTATTGTGTCCAACTATTTCTAAAAACTAAATATTAAAAAAGAAAGAAAGAAAAGAAAAGAAAAGCCAGGCATTAGGGTGATTAGGAAACCACCCAATTTTGAAATATGGTCAGTTGTATTTCTTTATTGAAAATATCACTTGGATTCTTCTCGGGGCCCCTGCCTGGCAGCCTGTGGACTTAAATCAACATCTGAGCTAGACTCAGAAGCATGCTTGCACAACCTCTGCACCTCCTGAAACACATGCGTGTCCAGCCTTGCCTCACACAAACAAAGCCAAGTGTGCATACACAGCCGTAAAGATAGAGAGCTGCAGATAAGCCTGTATCTGAATACAACTGTAGGTACACAGAGATAGGCGCTTAGAGTCACATCCACAGACAGAACTGGCAGTTCCTCAGAGCACACATGGTGCTCTGGGATCCCAAAATGCAGGCGTGGGTTGAATGTGGGGTTTGTTCAGTGATGAGCAAATGCCTTTAGAACTGTTGCACTGCTTGCCTTGGCTCTTAGGGGATGGGTGGTTGGGTGGTTGGGTGGATGGATGGATGGACAGATGAACAGATGGACCAATGGGGCCAGTCCTAGGACTGGACCTTCCTTAAGTGCTTTAGGACTCAGCTTTCTCCTGGGAGTGGATGCTAAATGCCATAAAGACATTTCTTTGTTGGTAGCTTCTCTACACCACCGTGTACTCACTGGGAAGCTGTTGATGTTTACTGCAGGGTGATGCGGTGGGGAAAGCATTCAGAGGTTGTGTACCTCAATAGCTGTATTACCTTGGGCAATCAAGTGGAGTGGGCTTCTGCTGGCCTCATTGAAAATCTGGAGGATTGGATTAGAGGAGTTCATTTCTTTTTGTTCAAAAATCCTCAGGCTTTGGAGAAACAGTTGTACATGTACATTTTGTTTTAGGCACAGATGTGCACAAATTCTTAAACTGGACAGGAGGTTTAGTAACTCTTTGGCAAAAAAAAAAAAAAAGATGAACAGCTACATCAGAACAATGTGGTTGGCAAGAAAAATGATCACAAGGTACTAATAATTACTTCAGCATTGATTTGCAACTTTTTCCTAGCCCTGATACAAATCTGGAAGCCAGTGTTTGCCTTTATGAAGAGGGTTACAAAGTAAATTGTTTCCTATAGACTGTGAACTCACCTGTTATTAAGCAAAATTTGTTTGTCTTTGAATTTGTATCTTTCTCCCTGGCTGGTGTATTTTTTTTTTTCCTTTAAAAAAATTGACCTAAATTTATACACAGAGAAATAAAACAGATCTTAAACATTTCAGTGAAGTCTTCATAGATGAATTCACCTCTACTACCCACACTCTTCACCACAGATTCTCCCAGGCCTTTCCTGGTCAATCCCTATCCCCATCCCCACCTCTCCAAGGCAACCACTGTTTTGATTTCTATCTCTGTTGGATTAGTTTTGTCTGTTTTAGAATTTAATGTAATTGGAATCATATGATTTTTTTTCCTCACTCAGCATGATTTTGACATTTATCCATGGTTTGATATGTTTCAACAGTTCATTCTTTTTCATTTTTTTGCTGAGTAGTATTCTATTGTATGAATTTACTGCAATTTTTTCATCTGTTCTCCTGGTGGGTGGACATTGGAGTTGCACCACTTTGGCTGTTCACAAACAAAGCATTTAAGAACATTCTTGTACAAATCTTCTGTGGACATATGTTCTAATTAATTGGGGGTAAAGCTTAGGCAAAGCTTATTGCTGGGTCACCTAG